AACCTTGATCACTGATCCATGAAATGAGGCTGAGGTCAGGTGAACCCTGTCTGATGGACATGTAGACGTTGCAAGGAACCCATATACCAAATATAGTTATCCTATTACTCATAATAAGTGAGAAATTTACATAACAAAAAAACTAAACTTTTTTTTCAAGCAGTCGCTGAACCATGAAAATAAGGTCAAGGACATTGGACATATGACAGACGGAAAGTTCGTAACATAAGGTATCTGCATACAAAGTATGAAGCATCCAGGTCTTCTACCTTCTGAAATATAAAGCTTTATACAAATAGTTTACGCCGCCGTCACCGCCGCCGGATAGTAATACCTATGTCTCACTTTCTGCGACTTTCGTCGCAGGCGAGACAAAAACCTGTAAAATACAGTTTCATCTTGGCCTCTTGTAAGTGTTTTACTACTAATCTTTCAGTGCTTTTAACAAGTTGAAATAAAACATATGAATATAGTGGAATTAACTATTATTGGAGTGTAAAAAATTCTTTGGATGTTTTAGATAAATTACATGCTTTGATGGTCCTTTTGATTTGGTTGACAGTTTTGACTTTTCCACTCTTTATACTAAACTTCCACACAATCTTATCAAACAAAAGTTCTCCTATTTGTTAATCAAATGAAACTCTTCCACAGAGTCATCTCCTTTTGGTCAATCTATTTAAACTTTTGTCAGTTCTATTGTCCCATTGAATAACTACAATAGCTATTGTTCTCTGTGTAGTTTATTCACTGGGACCTTTAAATTTTTTCTAAGAGAAATCCATCACTCATATGTTTTACACGAGAAATTCTACACAATAATATTATGACAAAAGTGAAGATTTTTCTTTCCCTATTGTTAATTTTCCCATTTGGGATGGTGATGTTCCTTTGGCACCATCTTACGGTGATTATATATCACAACTCATTCGCTATGCCCGTGTCTGTAGTGAGGTTTTGGATTTCAATGAGCGTAATCTTTGTTTTACTGGCAAATTATTAAGTCAGGAATTTAGTTACCACAAATTAGTTAAAACCTTTACCAAATTCTTCAATAGATACAAATATTTGGTTTGCAAGTTTGGCTCTACCTATATTTGAAAGGAATAGCATATCCTAATTTTTACGGGAATGTTGCTTACCGAGCAAGGAAATTCTGATACGATCCGAGTAAACTTATCAATCCTTTAAATAAACTTATTCTCAAAGGTTACCAGTTCAACACTGTAATTAGATCTTTGAATATTGTTTTTATTGGTATAAATATTGATTTTGTTATCAGTAAATTAAAACCATACTGAATATTATTGTTATACACATATGCACATTCACTGTACTACAATCTATCGATACCTATATTTTGTCATTGCACAAGGTCATGTTTTTCTCTGACTGGTAATGATGTTTTTACACTAAATCCATTGGATGTTGGATGTGTACTGATTGATAGATACATGATTTTTTTATTTGTTATTAGCTTTTAACTAGCTGTCAGTAACTGTGAGTACTCTCATATCTTTAATTAGTGTCTTTTTTGTTGTGGGATGTATAGATACGCTGCTACATCCCATCTATTCTTTCGTTAGATGTTTTCTGCTTTGTATCAATCTGATGAGTTAAGCCCTTTTCAACTGATTTTTATAGTTTGTTCTTATGTTGTACTGTTAAACCACTGTCCCAGGTTAGGGGAGGGTTTGGTGCCAGCAATCTAGTTTAACCACGCCACATTCTGTATGTGCCTGTCCCAAGTCAGGAGCCTGTAGTTCACTGGTTGTAGTTGGTTCATGTCTGTCATATTTGTTTTTTTCGTAAATTGTATTGTTATGAATTAGTTTTCTCAACTGAATTGTTTCATATTTTTCATGTCGGGGCCGTTTATAGCCAACTATTCAGCATGGGTTTTTCTCACTGTTGAAGGCCGAATGGTTGCCTATAATTAATAATTGCCTACATCCACTTCATTTGAACTTTGGTGGATAATTATCTCATTGGCAAGCATACCACATCTTCTTATTTTTAAACCTACATATTATGCACAGTAACTGTGCAAAATTTCATTTGCCTTCTACCTATCCTTTGGAGTTTTGTGTTTACAAAAATTGTTGACAGACAGACAGACAAAGTGAATACTAAAGGGCTCCTAATAATTATTTAACAGAATTACAAAGGTTCCATAAGAAACAATAAACAATGCATGAAATCATACAGTATCAGTATTTCATGCATATTTCAATGTATTTTAGGTCTAGAAGTCATCTAATTACCCATTGAGATGACCTTCTAAGATTTGACCCCATACAAACAGAAATATAGATATAAATAGAGAGATTTTATAAAAAACAAGCACAATAGTATATGATTATGTTTCTGGGTCTTTTTGATATCATGTCATAGATTAAATAAATATTTTAATCACCATTTTACCCTATAAGAATAATTATTTTGTGGGTCAAATGAGTCAACGAAATGGTTCTTCATATTAGCTCCCATGTTTTACATTTTACTATTTTGGCATTCTTTTCTTTTTATTTAAAGTTAAAATCATTATGACCACAAGCTATCTTAAACCATAATTTTAACATGATAATGGACGGACGTACAAATGCACAGACTCGAAAACATTAAGCCCTTATACATAAAAATACACATTTATACCTTTTGTACTGTAATGGTATATTAGCCTTTGTCAATTGTTTTTGCCTCCAATGTATTGTTTAGAGAATACAATTTCTTGACAATAATAAACATCATTTTAAATAAGGGGATGGCTATTTGCCATGTCAATTATGAATCCTTAGCTACAGTGGTGCGCTTCTGGTAAAATTTCAAGATCTGTAGTTCCCTTTAGCACTTTTAATGGCTATTAATCAGTATATCTATTGTTAATGAATTGATACATCTGATGAAAAAACAATGAATCTCTAGATGTATTGACCCTTTCAACATAATGTATGTTTAAATTGGTTAATGGGTTACAAATGTTATATCTCATAGTATCATAAATGTCAAGGGATTATGACAGGAAAAGTCTTTAACAATCATCTTGTCTGTTAATAAAAAAAAGTTCAACTGCACTCTTATAAACCTCCGTTTATTTAGAAAAGCTGACCGCAAGTTGTAGTTTTACACTTTTTACATAACTGAGTGGTATGGTGATGAAACACCTGCCGCACTAGATCAGCACTAGATCAGGGATACATTTTGTGAGTCACTCATACAAGGCTAATAGGTTTTTATTTGAGAATATTTAACTGATCAAACATGTATTGGCTTTATATTGTCTGGGGATATATTTTAGATGATCTATAGCTATGGGAAATTGAAACTTATGGTGATTTAGATAATTATGTACTCAACAGACCTCACAAGTCAAAAGATGATCTTTTATCATTGTTTATATCTAATCATGATGCAACCAGAATAACTATTAAGCCTTAATGCACTTATTTTATTGTTGTTAATTTACAATAAATGAACATAAACATTAGAATTGTAATGTCAATCCCATTTTTTAATTGCAATGCTTATTTTCTTAAATCTAATTAAGTGACCTTGAACTTTAGACCTTAAAATCAGGACTGGACCTATATTGTGCCTAAAATAATGAACCAGATGGAGGGACTGAGATCTGTCACTTTGCTGTGAAGAGCCTGTATGTTTTATATTTCAAATATAAATACTATTTATATAAGGTCAATTGATGTGACACTTGCCAGTTTTTTGGTGGGGTTAGTGTTGCTCAATCTTCAATTTTCTATGTTGTGTTTTGTGTACTTTTGTTTGTCTGTTTGGTCCCTTTGGTATCTTTGGCCTCTATTGCCAGATTGCCAATGACATTCTCGTAATGGAAATCATCCTGTTCTAGTACTTTGGATTTCAACCCCTTACTAAGCCCTTGAAGGTAGATCTATCAGGTGTCTTCTGCCATCTTGGATTGTATAATATCAGAAAACAATTGGTCTAGATCTTTAATGAAATGTGCAAATTTTGAGAGGAGAATGTACAAAAGTATGTATTTCATTTATAAGACTATACATCTAAGTGGAGAAAATTATGTGGTTTATCATATTTTTACAACTGTTTTTTACAAGAACAACCTATTTTTTGCTTGATACAATTTTTCACCTTTGCCACATAAGGGAAGATAACTGAAATAGGAGTCATGTTACCTCAATTTTTATTATTTTTATTTTCTGAAAGCACATTATAAGCACTATCTTCTCATATTTTATCTTAAAATTCTATCTTATAGTTTTCTTTATATCACACAAAATTGGGTTTTCCATGTATAATCTATACAGGGCTGCTCTATGAGGTAGGAATGCCCTTTACCGTCAGGCATCAAAGGGTCATTTTCAACTACCGTTAGCGTCAAAGTGGTTAAAATTTTACCGTGATTTGTCAAAATATCCTTATCGTGATTCGTCAGAGGTTCCAAATAATTATTGTTACCGTTATTTTTGGAAAAAATTCAATGTGATTCGTCAAAATCAGTTGATTTTTTTATCGTCTTAAAAAAGTGTACATTTTATCGTCATGCACCAACAATTACCATTAACGTCATTTTGCAAGATATTTTACTGTTATTCGTCATGAAGGTACCCCCCATTACGACTCTCCTCTATGACCCATTTTAAAAAAAAACATATTTAAAAAAAAGTTTGATAAACAACATTTTGGAAAATTATTAAAAAATTCTATCAATTTTAATTTAGACCCCCCCCCCATGAAATTTGGGTTAAAACCCTAATTTGGCATATTCAAGTATATAAAACAGTTCACTTCATATTGAACACATGTACTCAGTATCAAAATGATGTTACCACAAATTACCTCAAACCAAAGTTTTAACCTACCTTAAACAAAAACTTTTACCTGATATGGGAGAGACTGACTGAGGCACAGACTGGATACATAATGGACAGGAGACTATATGGAAAAAGCCACCGGATAGAGTGAAAGCTGTATTGCTATTGTTTCTAATAACTTGAACAACTTACCATTTCATCACCCTCTTGTAACACTGTCGCTACTGGATTAACATAACTACGTCCTGTAAAACCAGGGGTCTGTAGTCTACAGGAATACAGGGCACATTCATCATCAAGCAAGGCTTCTTGGTATCTCTCACTTGAAACAGCAATGATATTTCTCCTCATAGACAACCTTTTCTTTCTAGATGATAAATCCACAGGTGACATGAGTGTATTCGCTCTGAGAGACAGTGAGCCCACGTTTTGATTATCATTTAAATTAGGACTACAGACCCTTGTGAATGCTGATATAGGTGTAGGTTTTGGCTGTGGAGAGACTGGTCCAGCACCTGCGGAAATAGATGGTGAAAATGCTGCAGAATGATCATCTTCCTTTGGCCGTTTTACTGAGAGGTCAATTGCGGCTACCTGAGAAGTGCATGTTTTTATGTCATTATCACAGATTTTAGGGGTCAAGTTTATGTTCTGTTGGTCTTGTGAAGCTTCACTCAAAGCTAAGGGTGTCCATAATGGTGGCACAGAAGAAGTAGAGGATACATTAACATAACTAAATTCTGTTTTCACAGGAGTTGGGTGTTTGATTAATTTTTCATCCCTCTGTGAAATAGTTTTTGTTACATAAGGTGTAATGTCAAATTGTGTATCTATAGCAACCCTTGGCTGTCTTTTGCTAGGAGTCAAGGTCAAATCTTTACAAGGACTCCATGTTCTACTTGGTGACAATGTCTGACTAAATGCTGCTGATGAAGATGCAAAGATGGACAATGGTTGAGATACAATGGTCTGATTATCTTTAACTAATATCACATTATTGTTTAAAATATTCTGTGTACAGGACACCCTAAAGTTATCACTACTCCTCGTCACACCAATGTCCATATTAGTGGCAAAGTTATTATTGCTTTCAATGGCTGATGTCCTGTCATGTGACAATGAAGTGGAAGTCTGTTGTTGTTGTAGTTCTTCCTGAAGCTGTTTCTGAAGAAACTGTAACTGTTCCTGTTGCTCAGCAATAAGTTGTAGTTGCTGTAGAATGTTTAAATTTGTCTGTGAACCTTCGACCTCTTTGACATCCTGCAGTTTTTCTGTTTCCGCTTGTAGTTTATGCATGTGCACCTGAGATTCAACAATACTTTCATTTAACTCCACAATACTTTGACGTTTACGACTCTTTTTCACACGACCAACAAAATTATCAACACTTTCATTGTCAGATCTTGCATTTTGTGGTCCAGTCTGAGAATGAGGGTCCCTTCCTACATTATCTGAATCGTCACTTTCCTCCTTTTCCTCTGTGTGCATCGCCATTTCTTGTGGATAAGCTTCCTTTGACAAAAGAGTTTCACTTTTTACCTGCAAAAAAGACTTTTTTTTTAAACATAATTCTACTTAAAAAATTGAACAATGATTATTTCATAATATGTATTTCAGTCAGGGTTAAGGTTACAATACACCATTAGATTTTATGGGCGCAGCCATTTTATGAGCATAACATGGTATTCAGAATTAAGAGTATAGCTTATCCTGATTGGTTGATATGTGCGCCCGTTATTTTTTGTTATTAGAGACTTCGTGCATTCTGCATTATACCAAAGGCCAAATAAATTATTTTCCTTAGCCCTAACGGAACTGAGATGTCTTTTAAACGCTAGGATGAGACACGTATTTTTATGTGCAAAATTGATAGGCATGGGAGATAAGTACAAATTACGCTAAGAAAAGCAACGCGAACCTATATTTTTTGGACCAAAAAATACTGTCCTAATAACTTTTCTTTAATTCTAGCAAGGTTTCGTTTAAAAAATCAACTTTCTAAAGTCTGTATCTCGAAAAAGGCTATCATTGTCGCCTATGGGGAAATTAATTGTTTATTTCAATCTATACAGCGTCGACATTTCTTTATCATAGTGCTCAAAAAGTGTCAAAAACAGTAATTTTACTTGATATTTGATGTGAAATCGTATTTTTTGGTGACAAATGAATTATTGATTAACTAGTTTTTAAGCTATAGTCTGTTTCATATTTGTATTGCGTTTTACCTTAGAAACAAGGGTGGGTTCGACTTTTGAATTACTGTGGAGAGAATATGTCGTTTTCTGAACTTCTGCTGATTTGTTTGAAAAAAGCATGTACACGTCTAGAGTTTGGATATACAAATCGATTTTTAAACATGACAATCTCGATCCAAATGCTGTTATCGAAATTACCAAATTCAGTGAAAATGTACAGAAATGGCCCCCATTGAACATTGAAATGTTCACTCGAATGGCAGACTATAAAAATTAGAATAGGTATGACATTTTGTAGTTAACGAATAGTTTTCGATGTTTAAACACAAATATTTACACATTTTTCATATTTTGAAATGCTATAGTCTGTTTCAAAAATGTACTTTTATACGAAAATGGTTTCATTTAAAACTGTTGTTCAAAATTCACCGTAGTAGTTACATATTGGATCGGTTTTGGTATCAATATAATCAGTACTTGATGACATATAAAGAATCATTGGAGAAAGTGGACATTATCTTCAGGCCCTTTTTAGCAGTACCGCATTTACTAAAAAAATCAAAAATTTTTTTTTCACATTTTTTGACTGGGGTCACCTCTGATAAAAAATTGTGAAAATTCAGAGAGTAATGCCAGAACGTTTTGAAGATGATTTTTATGTGGCATATATATTTGTGCATCTAACGAACTATGAATTGCATGATTCTAGAAAGTATTAAATACCGTATAGGTTACAATACACCATTAGATTTTATGGGCGCAGCCATTTTATGAGCATAACATGGTATTCAGAATTAAGAGTATAGCTAATCCTGATTGGTTGATATGTGCGCCCGTTATTTTTTGTTATTAGAGACTTCGTGCATTCTGCATTATACCAAAGGCCAAATAAATTATTTTCCTTAGCCCTAACGGAACTGAGATGTCTTTTAAACGCTAGGATGAGACACGTATTTTTATGTGCAAAATTGATAGGCATGGGAGATTTTACGCTAAGAAAAGCAACGCGAACCTATATTTTTTGGACCAAAAAATACTGTCCTAATAACTTTTCTTTAATTCTAGCAAGGTTTCGTTTAAAAAATCAACTTTCTAAAGTCTGTATCTCGAAAAAGGCTATCATTGTCGCCTATGGGGAAATTAATTGTTTATTTCAATCTATAAACTACAGTACTAATAATGAATTCAAGCAAGTCATTTGAAATTAATTGATTGATATTATCAAGGATTCACTATACAAATCCTTGATATTATCAAGTTGCAAAAATTAATTGTTGAATACACTAAATCATAATAGTATTCAAAATTCACAGTATTGTATTTTAGTCAAGTCATAAACATTTTATGATGCAAACTATTAATATATTTTTTATTTCTTAAGGTATAAAGAAATCTGGATTTGATTTGATGTAAAAAAAAAAATAATAGTGCATATATCTTCTTCATTTTTCATACTTTAAAATTTTGAAAACATTACTTCAACAGTGATTTGAAACCTTTTAACAATTTTTTTTTATCAAAGAATAAATGCTTTAATGTTAATGTTTTACCTTTTAAGAAATTTGCAATGTTAACAAATCCACCAATCAAATCTGACATAAAACAATAACAACCAATCATAAAACATCTAAAACATCTGCAATTGGATTGGTCTGTACAGGTAATTCATAAATATGAATGAAAGGTACAGGATTTTTCTCAAACATTTTTAACTGATATGTTTAAATAACTTTATATTAGAAAGCATGGAATGTTGGCCATGGTAACCTGCTTTTGCCTAAATGATGACTTTCCCCGAGATGCATATCTACACAGTTTAGATGATCATAATACTTAAAGTTACTGAGATATGAAATCATACTGAAACTTAACCAAAGTTAATGAGAAATGAACTGTGGGTCAGGGCAACCTACTTCCATTTTAATCTGAAAAGCAACTTGTGTCCTACCTGAGCTACCTTATTAAAAGTTTGTCAATCAATTTTTAAAGTCAAAGGTTTGAAATATAATGTTCCCATCGGATACAATATTACCTATGGGGAATGTCCCAAACTTAATCCACATGATTTTTAATCACCAAAAAACAAAAATATGACAGATAAAGATTCATTTTTCTATAAAAGTCTCACCACTTGTATAAGATAAAACATTCAAAAACATATATCAAACATAGTGTATATTAAAACTTACAGTAAAATATCATTAGCTTAAATACTAAAACATATACAAGTGCCATTCTATTAAGAATTATGAGACTATCAAATGAATAATAAACTGTTAACACAGAGATATGTCTCGCCTTTTTGTTATTTTGATAATGCAAATGTTGAAATTAAAAAAGCAATACTTTAACATGTAAGTTATGCAAATATTCAAAGTCAATGAACCATGACTGAAGGTACAGGGCTAAACAATCTCCATGGAAATGAGATGTGCCAATGCTAATACAACTGCAAACCAAATACCACTGACTTTTCATAAGTCATTCCCTTTAAACAAACCTAAACACAAACATTAACTTGTAAACTATGTAAAAGTTTCAAAGTCAATGAACCATAATTAGGGGGTGGGGTTATATAATCTCTAAGGAAATGAAACTTGCAAATGCCAATACATTTGCATACCGAATATCATTGACTTAACATTAGTGGTTCATCTTAAACTGACTTAATCACAAACTAATACATGTAAACTAAGTAAAAGTTTCAAAGTCAATAGACCATGACTGAGGGGTAAGGACCAAATATTCTCCATGGAAATGAGATGTGCTAATGCTTATACAACTGCATACCAAATATCATTGACCTACCACTAGTGGTTCCCCATAAACTGACCTAATCACAAACTAATACATGAAAACTAAGCAAAGTTTCAAAGTCAATAGACCTTGACTGAGGGGGCAGGGCCAAATAATCTCCATGGTAATGAGATGTGCCAATGCTAATATAACTGCATACCAAATATCATTGACCTACCACTAGTGGTTCACCATGAACTAGACCTAATCACAAACTAATACATTGTTGACGCCGCCGGAAACAGCATATCTATGTCTCGCTTTTTGACTCCGTCAAGACGAGACAAAAACTATATATTTAAATATATCTATATTTAAGATTTAAATTACATCATCAGCTATATATAAATAAGAAATTTGTTCTTCCACATAAAATATTAAAGCAAGTTTTAGCAACTACTTGACAAAGTTCTTCATTTCTGAATAAAAATACAAACTTTTTGTCATTAGACAAGTTAAAATTTATCAATATATTTAACTGCTTCACTATACAATATATTTTGAAATCTGCATATAAAGGACATAGAGTAAATACATGCTTCTCATCTTCAATTTCATTTTTACACACAAAACATGATCTTTCATTATTGGTTTATTCTCATATTGTCCTGTTTCTATTTAAAGTGGTGCAACGCCATATCTAAATTTCATAGACATATTTTGTTTTAAATATAACTCTGTACAACATTGTGATTTATATAGCTTATAAGTACAAAGCTTGTTACCATTACTCTGTGACAAAATTCTTGTTTGCCATTTTTCAATATATTTATCAAATAAAATATCTTCAAGTTGTAAAATAGTTTTCTTATGAAGCCATTAAGACTAGCATAAAATTCAAAATTACAATCTTTAAGTTTTTTCATGACTCTATTACACCAGTTCATCTGATTATTTACAGCATTTTTATGTGACCATTTGTGACACAGTAATTAACAACTTTCAGTTATTTCCCATAAACAATTTTAGTTAATTCAAAAAGGTTAATACTTACATGTATTCTAAAGATTTTATTATTTATTTAATCAAAATACTTTTCTATTTTATTTCAACAACACGTTTTATGTTATCATGTTTATCGGAATTCAACACTCGACTAGAATTGCAAAACATTACCGGAAAAAAACATCTAACTCAATACACATTTATCGGTATTATTCTTCGTTGAATTCTTCCATTATTGTATTGCTGTGTCCCACGAAAACCATGGAAATTGGTATACAGGAATAAAAATTAATCCACAGTATGTCTGCCAATATTCACCAGAGTTCATATGAAGTGGATATACATTGTAAGCAATTAAAGGTCACCATACGGCCCTCAACAATGAGAAAAAAACGATACCGTTGTGGCAATAAAACGCCATGATATGAAAAAGTCAAACAATTCAAACAAGAAAACTAACTGCCAAATTTATGAAAAACAAATATGACAGACTGTGAGACATGAACCAACAACAACCACTAAACTACAGGCTCCTCACTTTGGACAGGCACATAAAGGATGCAATTGACTTTACTCAAAAGATCAGAACGAAGCACACAAGAA